GATTAATCCAAGTTTGAATAGTTTTTTTTTTTTTAAATTTGTTTACATAGATTTTAGTTTATTTTCTCAATTTCATCGAAAATTAATTTTAACACACTTAAAAAGTCAGATTTGCCTTGTTCCCGACAAAAGGTCTCGTCTGAGGAATGAACCGTTAGGAGTACGTGCCTTTAGGGCCACAGTAAGCCTGGTCCACTTTAAATGACTTTTGACGATCTTTCTCTTTCGGCCTTATTCAGCATGAGACCTCAGCCAGGCCCAATACAACTTCAATGTGAAATAAACCATTTTTGTGAAAATTGGAACTGAGTTATCTTAAATAAACTTATAATGACTTGAGTCCTAAAAAAGAATTTATTTTGTGATAAGTCATTTTTTTTTATCTTACTAATAAATACTTAAGTTCAATATTTTTTTGAATCCTAAAAATGCCCTTAACAATATTATTTTGTTCAATTATAGAAACCTTAAAGACCTTGAAAGTAATTTTAAATTAATTTCTTAAATTAGAAATTATTATCCCTTAATTCACTCATAAATTGAAATTCAAATTTAAATTCTCTCATTTTTTCTCTCTGTCTCTCTCTTTCTCTCATTAGAAGAAGATCATCACTCCAGTACAACAAATTTTTTTTTTTAGGTATCATTTTTTTGTCCATAGCATCAAAATCAGTAGGGTTTGAAACATTATCAATAACTACCATATCTTATACAGCGTTGTGGTCATCATGAACTTTTATGTCGTTGATTTTTGAAAAAAAAGGTTGAAAAACTTACTCAACGTGCTATTAGTTTGATCCTCAATTTTATTTTTATTTTGTTGATAAATAATCCTCAATTGTTTTCAATGTTTTCATGATACTACGTTTTTTGTTGACTATGTTACTATTTTTTCTAATTGACAACGTTGCTATTTTTTTTTCATCTTACTATTTTTTATTGAGAATATTTTTACATTTTCAGTGTTACATTTTTGGATGCTGAGTATTACCTTTTAGGATGTTGAAAAATTTGAGACTTTTTCCTCTAGTTATGGGTTCAATGTTCCATATTGCAACTTTTTTTGTTGAGCATGTTGTTGTTTTTATTAAGTATGTTTTTGTTAAACATGTTATTATTTTTATTGAATATGTTACTATTTTTGTTGAACATGTTACTACTGTTATTTTTTAAAATATTGATATTGAATATTACTATATATTTTAAATTGACATTTTATTTTAGATTGCAAAGTGTCTTTTGGCACAGTAGTATTCTTCAAGATTTAATTCAATTTTTTGTAATTTCGGAACGGACAATTATTAGTATATATATATATATAANATGGTTTTGAGGGAGAAAATATGACTGGAATAAAATTCAAACACACTTCTGTTTTATTATATAGATATAAAAAGATATATAGACAAATAAGATACATCTCAACACAAATAATTAAATTTTTATCTACTTTCCTTCCGATTTTAAAGGGATTGATTTTGCTAAGTTAGAAGGAAAGTTAATTCATCAATTTTTTCATTCATCCTACTTTCATTCCTTACCAAACATCCTACTTTCATTCCTTACCAAACATGATATTTTATTTATTCTTCCAACTTTCCATTCTTCCACTTTTTCATCGTACCAAACGGACTAGCCACCTAACGCAACAGAATATAGAGACACAAAAAAACATTACGATTCTAAGTGTATAGAACAAATACTCTGAATCCACATAGAGGGTAACAAGAAAATATCTCTGAAACATGTGTATTATTCAATTAACTTCGTAGAATTAAAATACATATGACAATTTATAGAAAAAACTAAAATCCTAAATTTTCCAAAATAGAAACAAATCCCTAATTTTAAAAAAGTTACCTAAAACAATAAAACACATGTCTAATGAATTAGAAAAATATATATGGTTTAACCAACTAAATATTCTAGAAAATTCCTAATTGAAGTCTCACCCAAACAAAGTAATAAACAAATAAAAATAAAATAAAATAATTGTTAATTCTCGTTCTACATCACCACCTTTGTCCATTTGGGAACATGTTTTGGATTAGCTTAAGCCACGATAATTAATTGCTAAGTTTGAAGGAGTAGTCAGCGCAACACTGAACACCCCTATAACTCAATTTTATGTATTAATACGAGCCCCGCATAACAAAAAAACTCAAAAATGACATGATTAATTTATAGGAATAATAAATGGGTTAAATTAAGGTAGACACGAATAACATGATTAACAAATACTGTAGATAAAAAAATAAGTATTTAATGAATAATGTAGACAAGAAATTTTTTTTTTATAATTTTTTAAATAAAATTATATGAGTTATTATAAAATTAAATATTTTTTATTGACACGAATATCAACACAAATATGACACGTGCCGAAAGTGACATGACACAACACAATTGACACCCCTAATTATGAATAAGAATTGTTGTAAGGCTGATATAAAATCGATTGTTTATAGTTGGAATTACCAATGGACAATTTAATAAACACTCGAGCATATCAACTTTATTAATAACTAGATACTCATTGATGGAACAATGTTAATGCCAAATAAAAATAAATATAAAATACACACACATGCATCTATTTAATATTATAGTTAAAAAGTTCAATTCTCAACTTATAAAAATACAATAACGATCAAGATTAATCCAAGTTTGAATAGTTTTTTTTTTTTTAAATTTGTTTACATAGATTTTAGTTTATTTTCTCAATTTCATCGAAAATTAATTTTAACACACTTAAAAAGTCAGATTTGCCTTGTTCCCGACAAAAGGTCTCGTCTGAGGAATGAACCGTTAGGAGTACGTGCCTTTAGGGCCACAGTAAGCCTGGTCCACTTTAAATGACTTTTGACGATCTTTCTCTTTCGGCCTTATTCAGCATGAGACCTCAGCCAGGCCCAATACAACTTCAATGTGAAATAAACCATTTTTGTGAAAATTGGAACTGAGTTATCTTAAATAAACTTATAATGACTTGAGTCCTAAAAAAGAATTTATTTTGTGATAAGTCATTTTTTTTTATCTTACTAATAAATACTTAAGTTCAATATTTTTTTGAATCCTAAAAATGCCCTTAACAATATTATTTTGTTCAATTATAGAAACCTTAAAGACCTTGAAAGTAATTTTAAATTAATTTCTTAAATTAGAAATTATTATCCCTTAATTCANACATAAAATAAAATTAAGACGATCGAATAATTTTCAATCATATTTTTTGTAAAATCAGACCATTCATATAATATACAAAAAAAAAAAAAAAATCCAACGACGATTTCATTAAACATCTTACAATTAAAAATTATATTTTTTTCCGATCTTATTTCTCCACACCACCGTCAACTCCAAGTAGATTATTCTACGACAATTCAGATTAGGATGTGTTTGGATCCATCTTACGTTACCCNAATTCTCTCATTTTTTCTCTCTGTCTCTCTCTTTCTCTCATTAGAAGAAGATCATCACTCCAGTACAACAAATTTTTTTTTTTAGGTATCATTTTTTTGTCCATAGCATCAAAATCAGTAGGGTTTGAAACATTATCAATAACTACCATATCTTATACAGCGTTGTGGTCATCATGAACTTTTATGTCGTTGATTTTTGAAAAAAAAGGTTGAAAAACTTACTCAACGTGCTATTAGTTTGATCCTCAATTTTATTTTTATTTTGTTGATAAATAATCCTCAATTGTTTTCAATGTTTTCATGATACTACGTTTTTTGTTGACTATGTTACTATTTTTTCTAATTGACAACGTTGCTATTTTTTTTTCATCTTACTATTTTTTATTGAGAATATTTTTACATTTTCAGTGTTACATTTTTGGATGCTGAGTATTACCTTTTAGGATGTTGAAAAATTTGAGACTTTTTCCTCTAGTTATGGGTTCAATGTTCCATATTGCAACTTTTTTTGTTGAGCATGTTGTTGTTTTTATTAAGTATGTTTTTGTTAAACATGTTATTATTTTTATTGAATATGTTACTATTTTTGTTGAACATGTTACTACTGTTATTTTTTAAAATATTGATATTGAATATTACTATATATTTCAAATTGACATTTTATTTTAGATTGCAAAGTGTCTTTTGGCACAGTAGTATTCTTCAAGATTTAATTCAATTTTTTGTAATTTCGGAACGGACAATTATTAGTATATATATATATATAATTCTAATCTATATATGAATATAGACAAATATGAGAGAGATATTTTTTTAATGTTAGTCAAACTCCTAAAATTTAAAAGTTTTTAATTTTTAGTTTTATTTACTTCTAAATGGAAGAGATAATATGGTAAAATTGACAAAAAACGGACTTTATAATAAATAAGTTTTCTTGGCGAATTTAAGTTCATATAGGGGGATCGACCTTTAAATTTTTCATAAAATTATGTGCACCAAAATGTGTACTAAATTAAATTATTTGTAGCCATCATATTACTGGTGATAAAACTATGTGCACCAAATTATTTATAATTGTTGAATTAATGATGGATCCACTTATTCAACAATTACAAATGATTTAGGACACATTTTGGTCGACATAACACTGTTTTGCTTCTTCGACCAATAAGGCAATAGGTCAAATTTGGTACACCATAGTTTGTGATTTTGTATTTAGAGGTATTAAAATCTGATCCGACATTTATCCCATCAGTATCTATTTGTGCACTACATAAAATAAAATTAAGACGATCGAATAATTTTCAATCATATTTTTTGTAAAATCAGACCATTCATATAATATACAAAAAAAAAAAAAAAATCCAACGACGATTTCATTAAACATCTTACAATTAAAAATTATATTTTTTTCCGATCTTATTTCTCCACACCACCGTCAACTCCAAGTAGATTATTCTACGACAATTCAGATTAGGATGTGTTTGGATCCATCTTACGTTACCCTTTTAACCTTCACCTGCACATTCTCTAATGTTGTTTGTTACTGACTTAGGACACTCGACCAAACTTCTAATTAAAAACCTAATAAATCCAATCATAATTAAGCCTGGAAATATTTAAATGAATAATAAATAGTAATAAAATCTTTTTCCCATTTAAATCTCTGATTTGAAAATCAATTCCTTGCTTCGTCAACCCCACGTTGTCCAATCCCCAGAAAACCCTAAATTCATTCGTCTTGATTTATCCCCAAATTTCATCCGAAAATACGTTTTCTTGTTGATTATCAGTTGAATTAGAGTCATGATTACCGGTGATTTTCTCAATATTCAACCAGAAGAACTCAAGTTCCCCTGTGAGTCTTATTGCTTTGAAATTCTTTTGTTTTCTGTCTGGTTTCAAAGAAAAAATTACTGGGAAATGTAACGACATAGGTTTTTCAATTGGAATTCTATGGTTTTTTATGTTGCTATCGTTGGACAGAGGTTCTCGTATACTGGGGTTTTATGATCAACGAACTCAACATTCAAAATTTTCATTTTTTTCCACCCCAATTTCTCACACCGAAAACAAAATAGATAGTTTTCTTTTATGGGTATATCAATTCAGGTGCTGATCTTTTTGGCTTGTGTTGTGAAAGTTGAACTGAGGAAGCAGAGTTCATGTTCTATGCAATTGGCCAACAAAACTGCTCATTATATTGCATTCAAGGTAGTTTTGATTGATATGTTAGTTTTTGATTGTCCATCAATAATATTGTTTCTTTTACTGTCTTATTGTTGAACATTTTGATTGACAAGGTTAAAACTACCAACCCCAAGAAGTACTGTGTCAGGCCCAACGCCGGGATTGTTCAGCCTGGCACTGCATGCAATGTTACCGGTAAAACTCCAATATTTGTTCTAGCTATGCAGTTGAATTTTGTTGAGTTTGAAACCTGTTATTTTAATAAAATGTGAAAATTGATCTATGGGATGTGTTGGACCTTAATTGGTCTTTTTTTTTGGGGGTGGGGGTGGATTTTGGATTATCGTTGTCTAATTTTGCTTATTGGGTTTTGGTAGTTACAATGCAAGCTCAGAAAGAGTTACCTTCTGATATGCAGTGCAAGGACAAATTTCTCCTTCAAAGTGTTATTGCACCCAATGGTGCAACTGCTAAAGATGTAAACCTGGAAATGGTGTGTTAATTTTGCCCGGAACTTTTGTTTTTCCATAATATGTTTGATTGCAGTTTACTGAGTCTTTGTCATTGTGACAATTTGATTTGTAGTTCAATAAGGAGGATGGAAAGGTTGTTGACGAATTCAAATTAAGGGTTGTTTACACTCCCACTAATCCTCCTTCACCAGTTCCTGAAGGATCTGAGGAAGGTTCTCCTCCCAGGGCTTTCACAGCTGAGGAAAATGCTACATTGCATGATGCTGTAAGTGATCGTTACATTTCTTTTTGTTTTCTGACAAAGTGGGTTGCTGTCAGTTTTATGCTCATTGATTTCAGAAATATTAGGTAACAAGATCTTTGGAGGAGCCCAGAAAGAAACCTTCATCTTCAGAGGTGAATAATCATTTTTTCCTTTCATACACACAGAGACACTAATCGAGTTATGACTGAAAGACTTATATGAAATAAGCACTTGTTAGGCCTAGCTAGTCCTTAACTTTTTATAGCACAAATTACTTGTAGGCCATTAAGGAGAAGAGAAGGATTTATTTGTGTGTGGAATGCATGTGAGATTAATGTTACCATGGAGGAGCTTTATGAGACATTTACCTGTAGAACTTTTAGTTATAGAAGCACTTGTATTTGTCTCTGATTTTACGTAAACCAAATCCCCATGCTCAATTCTGAGGTGCTGGACTGCCTGATTTACAATCCTATACTAAATTTAACTAGACAAAGTATTAGTTATCACGTCTCATGGACTGCCTTATCACACTTAAAACAAAGGAAAAAAAAATGTTGCTGTAAAAGGTATTCATAATTGTTGAGCCTTATATTCATTGGAATACTAACTTAATTCATGCCAATCTTGACTGGTCCTTATGCCGTTTGCCTCTTGGCGTGAGAGTGTTCTTGTTCAGCACAATAGCAGCTGGCCAGGAGGTATTAGGTATATGAAATGTGGATGGGCATTTATTCCTGTCATTCTAATTGAAAACTTCGAGAATAGGTGCTTTATGTTAGAATAGAAGTGAAAAGACAGAAGATGCATTGTGCATGTATATTGGATGGATGAGAGTTATTATAATAAGTAAACCTTGTTCAAGCTAATATGACTGTAAAAAAAGGAAAAAGAGAGAAACCAGAAAAAGGGGTCAATATGAACTTTATACTTTTTGAGACTGAAGTTTTATTTGAATAAAGTGGATGGTCTTATTGATCCATGTATATTAGGTCCAGTACGTATCACTTTTCTTGCGTGCTGAGTTACCTTCGGATCTTGACATTAAAAAGTGACATTGGGTGAAATGAGAATTCTAACTTATACTTCAAATTGGTGCTGGACTACAAGTTGCTTTTGGGTTTTACACAGAAAGGAACAATCAGTTACTTGTGAACCATCTCGTTTTGGAAGATTGGATTCATATAAAAAATTTATTTACATCTTTATATCAATAATTTGTTGTTGTTGTTTTGCATTCATTTGATTGTTTAGTTACTTTGTCGTCGTTGTTTTATATAACAATCCTATACTAAATTTTCATGTTTTAGGCATGGTCTATGATTTCTAAATTGACCGAAGAGAAAGCTTTCGCTATTCAACAAAATCAGAAGCTCCATCAGCAGTTGGTATATTTTTTATGTCATTACGGTTGGATTTACTTGTGCATTGTTAAGCCTTGATTGAAGCATCATACTTGTGAAATGCATTTTGTTGTGTGCAATCTTCCCTATGTGGATTGAATCACTATATAATTTGTTTCTTATATCAGAGTGTCACCATAGAGGAGTTGGTGAAGCAGGGCAAAAGCAATTCCTGTTATTTCAGAAAGTACTTAATTGGTAGGCTATGTGAGATTTGTGAAGACTAGATTTATTTGTTGATTTCAATTAGTGTGGTATGTTTTGCCTTCAGTACACAGTGTTGCACCTTATTTTTAGCTAGCGGTGTTCACACTATCCAACGGGTAGGAATTATGATATTTCATCTTCTTATCCGATACTTTACGGAAATTTTTTTTTTGGCCTACCCCACTTGATCAAGTGTACTATTCTTACTTGAATTCTGTCCAAAACAATCGGGTAGGAAGTCAGGTAAGAAATGGGTGAACACATATTTTTTAGTTATTAATTTTTTAACAATTTAATTAAGTAATATGCACAAATTAATTAACACAATAAATCAATAACACTAAAGGAAACACAATAAATTCGATAATACATAAACAATTACAATAAAATACAATAAAAAAGTCATAAACATCAATACATTATATATTCGGATAGGATAGGAATACAAAAATTTTGTTGGTATTCCGTATTCCTACCCAAATTTTTGCGAAATACCAAAAATCTTTCGCTGGCCTACCCGATTCTTTTGGGTAGCCGATCAATAGAGTCGGATAGGATAGGATAGGGTGGGAATTTGTAGGTAATCGAAAATTTGAACACCCCTATTTTTAGCAAATATTTTAGATAATTAGAACTTCCAGATGTGCGTTGGGAGGGTGAGAAATTAATCTAATATCTTGTGTAAGGTGTTCATAAACTGCCTTGGTTGAATGATACCAATATATGTTCCTGTTATTCGGAAATGAAGGCTCTGGACTTTAAAACATTCATAAACTCGTTCTGTGCTCCAACTCTTTTCTTCATTACTGACCTTTTGGATGAGTCTAGATGGTTATATCTCTCCAAATTAACTAAGATGTGTTGGATTTGAACATATGCATCGCCATTGTATGCTGTTTGTTTTGGGGTGGCACAGGCATTTGTGGTTAGTCCAAGGCAGTAGAACGTAGTTTTTATAGACTCTACTCCTAATGTTTGGAGATGTTGATTATAATGGGATGGGAGAAGCATTTATATGAAGGGACATTGGAAGGGGCTTGAAGTTGGATCTAATATATCATGGCGTTGGTATAATGAGCCTTAACGGAGACACGACAACAGTTGTAAGGCGAACACGTCATGCAAGAACCTCTGTTAAGTTGGATATATGTAGTTGCTGCCCATCTTATGAATTTAACATAATTTCTGACATTGGCCTTGCTGATTCTGTGATGGGATACGGGAGACCTGGATCAAGATTACCACATCTATCTCACACTTAGACCTGTGTTTTATGTTGTTCTTGCTGTAATTGTTTCAAGGATATTGCTGTATCTTGTAGTTAATATTGAATTAAGACATCGCTTTACCGTTACAAATAAAGACCGACAGTGAAATTCTAAACTATGCTCCTTCACTCTATAAACTTTGGACTAATTCAGATTGGCTGAATCAATTATCTCTATATTTTATAGTTTGAACCCATCTTTATACGTGCGGAAGAATCACTCAAAGTGAGATCATGATAAGATGATGTTCCCCTCTTCAGCTGATTGTTTCAGTTCACTTGTAAATGAACAAAACCCTATACGGTTATTTTTCTCATGTTTCCCTTGTTTTGAAGCTTGAGAATTAGTGCTCGTATGGTCATTTAGGATTTGTGTGATCATACATCTCACCAACTCTAGTTTGTACATCATTCTTTCCTCGAATGAACTAACAAAACCTGGTGTATTGAGAAGGGCATGCTAAGTGAATAATTAAATTCAAACAGCTTGTTTATTAAAAGTTGTATTGACATGATTCAAATATTCGGTTTACAGGATCTGATGAGAAAGGAAATCAGCAGAAGCCATGTTGGTGGCTACTCCATATTGTTTGTGGGGCTGATTAGTCTACTAGGCATTCTGGTTGGGTACATAATCAAGAAGACATAGGAGAAGCAGTGCCAGCAGTCTGCCATTCGTTTTCTGCATTTCAACATCCATTACCCCCGTGTTCTGTATTTTTGGAAACTTTATAGAACGGACATTCTTCGTTTCTGATGTAGAAACGGTGTGGAATATCATGTATAACCGACATTCGACGGCAGATGTCACCGAGTGTGAAAGGGAACTCCCTTGATCTATTTCAATGAATTTCATACAATCTGGACAACTTGAATGAATAAAATGACTCCCTTTCTCTTTAACATAAAATTACTTCAGAGTATAACTTGTGAGATTGTATTTTGATGTGCGTCTGTGTAAAAGGGTGCAACTTGGGTACGTTTGAATGGAAGTGGATACAACTTTGGGAGCCGATTGATGCACGGGCAATTTAGAGTAACGCGAATGTGATAATAATACATGCATTTTAGGTCCTAAATTTAGTTGAATAAATTTTTTATGGTCTGATCTCAAAGAATTGTCAAGATTTGAACGTTTAGATTTATAATTTGTTCGTGTTACTAGTAGAACTAATCTAGAGAATAATATTTGATTTTTGGTGCTCAATTCTCTAATATAATCTTTTCTATAATATAATCTAAGTTTAGGACAATTTATTGAAAGAGCTCATGCCTCATACCTCAGAGATTCACCAATCAGTATAGAAATGAATTCATAAATTACACCCTGCCTTTGAGTATATAGTTGAGAAGATTAGTTAACGTGCGAGGAAGTTGGTCTTTATCATTGAAACATCAAAAAAAAAAAGAAAAAAGAAAAATTGACAATCCAAAGTATATGATGACATCGAAAATAACCCATTCCTTTAACACAGCAAGAAGTTTAAAAATTACACAAAATACCCAGAAAACACCAATGAGATTGACCAAAAAAAAACCCTAAATATCATAAATTCTCCCAAATTAAGCCAGATGAAACACAAATAGAGCGCCAATCAGATTTGGGTTTTCTTTATATTTCATCTACAAGTATAAATCTAATAAAATGGAACCAAACCAATCTTCAGCCGTCCGATTTATCGTCCTTGTCCTTCTTGGGTTTGCGATAGGTCTCCTCAACCTTCTTGGCCATGAAAACGCCAGTGTTGGTCAGTTTTCTGATGTTGGGCACGTTGTAGTTCTGTGCTATGTACACTCCACAGATTGTCCCCAACATGAAAGTAAAACTGCTTCTGATTATACCCATTTGGGGGCTTCTGGATTCAACCCAGGAACAGTTCTTCAGGGGTCAAATTGGTTGAGGATTGGACTGCACTGTGGGTTTGGAATTGAGAGAGAGAGAGAGAGAGATTGAACAACACTTTTAGGATTGTTGAATTATATATAGTGGCGGGGAGTGAGAGAGTTTAGGTGGGTTTTTATTCTCCAAGCTTTTTACTTGCAGAAGTGCACACAAGGGTGGGTGCTTTTTTTTTTGTTTGGTGGGGGGTGGGGGGGGCTTTACCCCTTCTCCAAGAAGAGTCAACCCATGCCCACCTCCACAAGAAACTCCGGAGAACATTTTTCAATTAAGATTTACATTAAATTAAGATTGGAAAGAGAGAATACTCATCCCTTTAAATAATACAGAGCAACTTCGAGTTTAAAAATTAATATTTAAAATAATTTCTGAAAATTTAATTTTTAGTGTAATTCTTCATGGCATATCAGGGCAAAAATAAAATTACAATATTAAGAGATGTGATCATTTAGTTTAATTATATATGTAATTGTCAGATGAAATTATACGGTCAGGTTATTTTTAATTTTTTTGTGAATAGTAATATCATAATATTAGAATACAAATAATAATATTATAATTTAATCAATTTCTTAGATAAAAAATATTATAAATTTATAATATAATTAGATATACAAATACTTAAGAATAACAATCTTATAATGCAATTCTATTATAAAAAAAAATGTTTAAAGGGCCAGGGAAATTCCTAAAAAAATGATGAATTATTAACTCAAATAAGAGTAGAATAGATTAATAATTATGTTTAGTAATAATTAAAATAACAATTAATTATTTGACATATAATTTATAATTTAATTTTTTATTAAAAAAATATTTTTTAATAAAAGCCCATTTTTTCAGTTATTTGAGGTTCAGTAGTTCGATAGGCAACCCGCTAAAAAATCACCTTCACCTGTCTTGATAGACTAATGTTGCATGGTCACTTGATAGGTCAATGACTAGGCCCAAGGTTGGGCATGTTGTGTGGATGGGTGGGTCGGGTCAGTCAAGCCCACAAATATCAATGTATTATTTGAACGTAGAGTAAACTACATAAATCTATATTATAATTAGTTTTTTTTTGTTTTGGGGGAAGGGGGAGGGGACTTGAACATTTGACCTCTAGAAGATAGAGCCTTTACAACGTAAAAAGCACCATTGGACCAAAGACTCGTTAATTTTAATTTTTTTTATGTTTTTTTGAGAGGGAGAGGGGGAGGGGGTGATGAAACTTGAACCTTTGATCTCAAGAAAGTAAAATCTTCATAAGTTAAGGAGTATCATTCGACTAAAGGCCCATTGGCGTAAATCTATAATATAATTAGGATAGACTTCAATAAACCTATCCGACGGTCTCAAATAAACTCATCCAACGACCACCAATATCCTTCTTAAAACTATTCACATTGCACTATATCTTTAAGCATGATTTATCCCTAGTGACTTATAAATTACGACTACCTTTAGACACGAGTTATCCCTAGTGACTTATAAATTATGACTCTTGTGTCAATTAAGTCTCTGAACAAGTTTTCGCCTCAATTGAACCCTTAAACTCTAAAATTTTAGTAATTAAACTCTTGAACTAATATTTGTGTCACTTGAGCCTTTAAACTCCAAACTTTTAACAATTAAGTATTCTTTCGACAACGTTCTGTTTTTGGATAGAATATCTCACGTACTCACCACATGGATAGTAGAGACTTAATTGACATAAGAGTTATAATTTATTGATTCAATTCATTACAATCATTAGATTAGTAACAAATTCCAACAAATACGGTTGTTCACTTTCAATTCAATAATTGTAAATAATTAGGTTAACAAATTGTATCAAAAAATTAGATTCAAGTAGTATTATTCCGCAAATATATACATCACAACAATGATATTTGTTAGGTCCGTCATTTGTAGATTTAATGTAAAGATCTAATATATTGTGAACATTGAATTAAAAGATGAGAATGACTCATTTCCCTTTGTCGACACAATTGCCGAGGACAATAAACTTGAATTTTTTTTATGAATTTTGTGGAGTTGAGCAGAATGAGAATTTACCACATGACAAATCCATTAGTCCACATCTTTTTAGTCTTATTGATTTTCAATTTTTATTGGAACTTGATAATTTTGAGTTACCAAATATATATAAAGAAATTTTTAAAGTCATGTTACGATTTCCTAAAGTTGCTGAATGAGAGATTATTTTATCAATTCTTGAAAGCATAGTAGATTTATGCAAATGTGTACTTGAAAATTTTAATTTGAAGTACACAACTGATGTAGATAAAATGCCGATGCATTGAGTTGTTTCAAGTCTTGGAAATTCAAGGATGAGTTTTTTTAAGAGAGAGGGCCTCATGTAAAACGGTTTTATGTTTTATTCTATTTTATTTTTATTATTTATTTAGAATAAGAGTTAATCAATCAATAATACAATATTTCAAGAGTTATTCTTTTCGTTTTCTCTATGGATTTAGAGTGCTTTTATTTTTTATACTTGGAGACGGTGATCGCTTTGTATCCCCCGTTTGCTGCGGCGTCATTTTGGGTCGTGCGAGGCCAGATCGTGGGACTTATGGAATACCTAGGATCCTGATATCGTTGGCTAACAGTACTAGTCCTCCAGATTTAAGAAGGGGGGAAAAAAAAAAAAAAGATGAACGAACTTCATCAACACAAGGTCTTAACCTACTAGTAACTTCTGTTTCAAAACACTCTACAAAATTAAAAATCGAGCATTAACTGCTTAACATTTATATTTGAAAAAATATTTTTTTAATTATATAATTTAAAATTAAAATGAACAGAAAAAAAAAGAAAAAAAGAGAGAGAAAGAGAGAGGTATGAGAAAGTGCAGACATGCGATTCCTTTTCAAATCACAACTTGAAGACCTGATTGAATGCAGTCATTTTAACCAACACATGCTTGAATTGCAAGGCTCTCCACAGTTCCAGAAAAAAGAAAAAGAAAAAGAAAAAGAACAAGACTATCCCACTATGAGGTCTGAGTAGATGCAACCTTACTTCTGTATCAAGAGAATAGTTTTTGTGATTCAATCCCGTCTTGTACAGGTTATTTTGAAATTGTTTTATTGCTGTGTCAAGACCCGTATGAAACGAAAAACTGTGTCCACAGTTATTATATTACCCGATTGATGAAGCTGTCAACATCCCATTCCCTCCATCCAACTCTTTGAGGACTCATATAAATTCTCGAAAGTTCTCTACGAATGTCTTTTAACTTCCCATCCAACGGTGGTAGTCCCACTTGAGCCGCTAGCCAGTCCAAGTACTCGAACTGCCGTGCATCAATTTACAAAATCACGAAATCGCTGTTTATGTACACTAACGTGTATGATTGTGTTATTCGGGTCGTGACATGTATGACTCTAGAACCATAAATTCACGTATAGATGCATTTTAGATTAAAAATCTACCTGATTCATGTCCGAACAAAACCAGTAGAAACTTATTTAATGCTAAATAAAAAAATGCATAAAAAAACATCATATATTTTCTTCATACAATGTTAGTATACATGTATTTCCATGTCAAACTTGAAATATTCCTATTCGATATATTGTGGTGATTCATGATTTATTCGTATTAGTGGATCATGACGTTTTAGAATTCGTTTCGTTTTGAGTTTTAGTTATGTTACATGGTGTAAAAAATTATCTCCCTCTTACTCGAGTTTTATAGATAAATCATAGAAAGCCCAAATCATAAAAAATGAAACAAAGGAAATGTGGAAACGAAACCTGATCATCAACTGGTAAAATAAGATGGGTATGGTGCTTCGGGGTCTGGCGTTCCTTCATATTCCGGTAGTGTTCTTCTACATCGGCCAACATCTCCGATTCCGATGGCAGGACCGCCTTGCCGGATAATAAACGCGTCACCCACTTGGATTGTAATTCCGCCATGGTAAAAAAGAGAACCTTATTGCCAACACAACTTCCAGTGTTAATAAATCATAGAGTTTACTTACGGAAAAAAAAAAAAAACACAAACCATAGAGTAGGATGATAATTGTGTCATATCTTGTTATTTCATGTTCGTATCGAACATTAGTCAATTTAATCTAATTTGTTTAACTAATTGTGTCGAGTTGACTTATTTATTTTCATGTCGTATTTGTGTCTGTGTCCGTGTTCGTGTTCACTCATATAACCTGTGAATAAAAAATTTAACCATCAGATTTAAATCTAAAATTTAATTGTCACTTATAATTGAAGATATGCTTATACTTTTTCTATAAATTAAAAATTAACTTAATAAATATAATAATAAAAATAAATAAAAATGTATTTTTTTGAACAATAATTATGTCACTACTTGATAAAATATAATTAAAATTAATATTTTATTCTTATAATACTAATTAAACTTGTTAATTGTGTCAATTTTCATGTTGTTCGTATTTAAAACTCATTTATTATTCGTATTAACGAGTCGTGTCATTTACAGGTTCGTGTCAAAAAATGACCAATCTTAACCCATTAATTTCATATCAATTTTAAATCGTATTTTCGTATCGTACAAGAAATTGTCAGTGATATCATTGCAATTAAGCCTCCCCCATCTCTTTCCTCACTCTTAATTACAGGCCTTTTACACACGGGGACAGCATTAAGCCAACTGGGAGGGAGGCTGCCTCTTCTAGCTAAAGATGCTATTGTGTGGGCAAGCACATTTTGTTACCCCCTTATTGCCTGGAAGGTTCTCCTGACTCAGAGAACCACGACAAATATTCAGATCGTTTAGATTAAACGATTTATATTATTACTTAAATTTTAATATTTTAACCACAATCATTTTTTCTATTTATATTTAACTTTTTAGCCACAATAAATATTTTAACGGCCCACTTATATTTTAAACAACATAAACATTTTAATCACACAAAAACAAAAACATGTTTTTGCACAGGTTCCCCTAGTGTGTGTATATATATATCTATATAATAAATTAGCTAACAAATTAAATCTTTATCCCTTAAATATTTTCTCTTCAAAAAATATCACATCAACTAATTCTATCACATGTTCAATCATTTAATATTTAGTTAATTTTTAGTTTAACACAACTTTTATTTCATACATTATTCATATACGATAATGTACACATGTTTAAAAAAATTATCAAGTTATGCATTTTGAGAAAATTTTGACATTATTAATTTTAAATGATGTAAGCAAATAAATTAATTTTAAATTTGATATAATGGAATCAATTTTTTAAATGTTAAAATCTTATGTTTCATCGTGCTTCAGAGTCCGGCTTGTATATATATATCTTTGCCAAGAAAGATTGAATGCAAACAATACTTGTAGGAGTAACAATGACTGACCCTGGAAGGAAGTCCCACGAAGCAGAGTCTAGGAGCAAGCCGTGGGGGGAAGACATGCTTGTACAACGGCCCGACTCGATTGTCCTCCACGGTTACAATTCCATTCGTTTGGAGAAATGGAAAATCGTAATTGTACCTGTGAAATCTTGTTAGAACTCGTGTCCTGGCTCGAGTTCGATGGGAAAAAAGGACATGAAAATGAAAATTGGTACGTGGATTATACCCAGTACAATGAAAAATGATATCTGCACAAATGGCTGTTCCGTCTTGAAAACATACTGTACCATTTTCATAGATGTTGTTAATCTGCAAAAAAAAAAAAAAAAAAAAAAATTATTAATAGGTCACAATACACTTTCACCCGACTACAAATCCTATATTGTCTCGTAACTATTGTGTTTCTCACACTATCTCATCAATTACTTGAATTAGTTTTACACTGTCCAAAATTCAACAGTGGTTGTGTTTTGAACGGACAATGTCCACATAGTTTATATATAAAAGTAAACCACTTTTTTGCCTAACTCGTTGCGAGAAACTTGAAAATTGAGATAGAAAATGTGAGATATGAGTCATACGATTATCAGAAAATAAAAGAAAAGAAAAACCTCGGAATGCTGCCACATATTTTCGTGGTTGTCCAGCTTTGAACATTTAACATTCGGGGATCTTGACGAAATATGAACTTCTTTGGCCACTGTCGCAATTTCTAAGGAAATATCATAAGCACTTGGTCCATTTCCGATCACTACCACAATCTGTCAGGTGGATTACTTGATCATTCATTGTTGGTAAATTTTTATAAATTGAGAATTCAATTTTCTAATTGTACTATTATCACGGATAAATATATGTCTTACTGTATATATTATTTATATTAGAAGAAAAGAGTAAGCTTGACAAAAAAAAAAAAGAGTACTTTAAAAAGTGTTGGAAACAAAACAGAAAGTTGGCAGCAGGAAAGTATGGGAGCTGCGAGTGCATACCTGATCTTGAAATGGTTCAGGAACACGATAATTGTGGCTATGAACTTGCTTTCCAGGCCATTTCTCAATGCCTGCTTAGAAAATAAACAAAAAAGAGAAAAGGATATCCAATGCTTAACTATATATGAGTTTCTCTTCTGCGGTGTTTAATAAAACTGAAAGTTGAATACTGAATTTTTTAATTCGTAAATTGCTTGATATCCATTGAAATTTAAATATTTAATTAAATTAATTTTTTTGATAAATATAAAGAACTAATGTATAAAAATTATTATTATTCTAATATTGTTCATCTTTTTAATCATTTCACCGCAGCTAATTTATTCCTACCATTATTGTGATGGTGGTAGTAGTGGCAACGACAAAATGGTGGTGACATAATTCAAATCCATGATAGCGTTGAAAATTTAAAAGTAGAATAATAGATATGGGTTTAGGCAGGGGTGGAGCCAGAAAATTGTGTCAGGGTGGACACGAATATTTCAACAAATTATTATTTTTTTTCTTACAATTGATAAAAATAGGACAATAATTTATTTAATTATATCTTATTTAATAATTAAAAGTTCAATAAACCCGCTATGTCGAAATTTGGTAAACCTAATGTATACAAACGATAACATTTTAAAAATAGAGCTGTTAAACGGGGCAAGGTTGAACATTTTTTTAAGAGCAATGCTATTGGGACTTAATTTGCTGATCTAATTCACTAAAACCTTTAGATTGACTGTAGATTCTATCAAACATTGGAACATGGTGTTAATCTAATGGTTTTAATGAAGTCACGTCATTAGGTCAATAAATTAAGTTCAAATAGTATTTTTCATATTTTAAGCTCATTTATGTATAAATAGTCAAACAAGTCAGCTCGTTTATATATAAATAATCAAAAATTTAAGCTGAAATTCAGTTCGATTATTGTGCTAATTTAAGAGCGATCACATGCATGTGATTTGCTAAAATCCAAATCTTGCCACTTGGAGTTAGATTCCAACGTTGGGAACGTAAGTGGTGGGCCTGTCGATTAGACTTTTTCAAGTGGAGGCAGCTTGAATTTAAAATGGAGTGTTTCAAGGAAGTAATAGCGAAGGTTAGGGAAGCGACAAGGAAACAAAACAGAAATCACTTATTTTATATTTAGATTAGTAGATTATTAGTATAACAAGCAATCAATTATTGTAATTCTTAATAATACATTTATAATAAATGAGAAAGCAGGTATAGACGGTTGAGAAACCCAAAGTAGAGCATAATTAAAAAGATAACATAAGAAATTAATTCTTATATTTACAACAACCCTCAATCATGTAATGTCTTACTTTTACTGCAACTAAGATTGTCAAATAGTCATTTTGAACTCGGCTCAACTTCGGCTCAGTTCCAACTTATTGAAATTTGTTTAAATTATATAATGAACAAGATTGTGATTTCTAATTAACTTTTGTTAATGAGTCGAATCAAAGAAATGAGTGACTCGGAATAATATATGTATAAATAATTTTAATTTTACTATCAAGCACCTCCTATCCTCAAACTATCCACAAATAGCTCCAAACTCTGTAGTAAAGCTTGGCTCAAGCTCGAGTTCGAGTTCGGCCGATCACTTTCAACAACCTTAACTCGATTGAAATTCTAAACCATATACGAACACACACAAATATTGTTGGATTTTATGGAAAAGTCGATTTATTTGGGGCATGCCTATCTTTGTTTTGTAAGAATTATCGGTGAACGTACGAACCTGAAAGATTTGCCAATCGAGGTACAGTATAATGACCACTGCAAACCATCACTGCCTCAAATATGTCCTCCGTACTCAGTCCACTCGTTCTTGACTCAACAACCCACTCGTCGATCCTCGAGTCGACCCGCTCAACTCGGACCACTTCAGTATTGAACCGTATCAACTCAACGAGTCCAAAGTCTTTAGCAAAATCATCCAAAAACTTTAGCACTTCTTCATGTCCAGGAAAATTCCTAGAATCCCCATATTGCTTAGAGGTAAATAGGTAGTCTGAGAAGCCCGTAAGGTGTCTGGGTGAGTTGGTGCGAAGTGAGAAATAGATGCTACTATGAACAATCTCTCTATTAGGATCGAGTCCGAGTGGATCGGTCTCGACTCGGGGGTCATACATCCATGTTCCACCGAGTCGATTTTGTTTTTCATACACTACGACTCGGTGGCCTTCTCTTTGAAGTTCACGAGCAACAGCAAGCCCAGAAACCCCGGCTCCGATCACCGCCACCTTCAACGACTGTGCCATAGTATGTATATATGTATTTAGCTATATAAGGCTAGATGGGTGATGATCACAGTACAGTTCAGATTATATAATGTGTGTTTGCTAGGCATAAGGTTTATTTAATTCCTTAGGGACACACCGGCAATTTCAAGATGTAGAATGTTGCGGCAATTTCAATAGCATTACTCTATTTATTGCCGTGCAGGGATGACAGCTTACTTGAGCTAAAAAAATATTATCAGTATTATTGAATTAATTATGAATACGTGATTGATCAATTCAATAAATTAAGAGTTAGTATTTCAAACTTAAATAATATTTTCTGTGCGAGAAGATAAGAGAAGTCGTAAACTATACATTATTTTGGATTATATTTGTTTGGAGTTTTCATTTGAATTGCTTTAGCCAATTATGTGAAATTATATTTGTGTACTGACAGGATGTAGGCAGTACACATGACTACTTAAAGCCAGCAAAGCGCGCCACTTGGGCTCTCATCGACTGAGATTGAGTAATGAATATCAAAGACTGGAAGTATACAATACACGAAAGAATGAATATGTGCACAATTTGTGCCGGTTGTAATTGTAATTGAAGTATGAACCTTGTGCAGTGTACCGATGCGACAGGTCATAATTACTGTCCTCTCCATGAGGGGTTCGAGCTTAACCCCCAAAATACAACACATAGCCCTTATTGTACTTGGATACCCCTCAAGGATATTCAGTTGACATTTCAGGGTCTATTCTTAAATGTTTGGCATTAGGTCGCAAACATTCTATTGTAGAACACTCGATGCTTGGTAGGTAAAATTATAAGGGTGTGTTTGTTTTGAAGGATAAAGGCAGATAACACATGTTGGATTGGACAAAATTAGCTAGGGGCCCACAAAACCAAGCTTTGGGTACTCCACATGGGATAGGATAATCGTTGGGCTGAAATTATCGGGCCGTAACTTTATTGGGCGGTTATCCCATCTGATCAGGATCCACAAATCTCACATGGACTGTGGAATTTCTAAGCCTATAGACTGGATTAGCTAGGAAATTACCTAATTGCCCGTGTACAGTAATTACGCTAGGGTTTTTACCCCTTTGTCTTCGTTTCACCTTCTAGCTGGTCCCCTCCACGTTTGTATGCAGCGCCCACCGGTGCCCCTTCAGCCGAGGTATTCCTCTCTCCTCTCTCCTCTCTCCCTTCTCTCTTTATCTTAGTTCTCATATGTATTTGACCCATTATTTACAAATTTTAGGGATTATTTTGGCGTGAAACAGGCGTTGCTTCCAGCAAATCCCAAAGCAGGGGATTTTTTTTTTCATTTCAATTGGGTAGAAGGGCAATTGCTGATGACGTCGAACAACAATGTCAGGCGTCGTTGTTGTTTGATTTTTGTTCTTTTTTTTTTTTGGGTCCAGTTCTTCATTGTTTCTGTTATCCCTATTGTTTTTAAAACCAAAGCAACTTGTAAGGGGTAGAAATCGCTACGGATCTCATCCCTCCACTTGAAGGATTCCGGCTGACCTGACGGCACTGAGCCCCAGTATCCTTTATCTCTTTTCGCCAATAGGACCCTTTCCTAAGACAATCCCACATCGGAAGAGAGTCGTTTTCCCCTCTCGCATATAAGCCCTTGCACTCAAAGGATGAGGTACCCACTAGATTTTTGTAAGGGGTAGAAATCGCTACGGATCTCATCCCTCCACTTGAAGGATTCCGGCTGACCTGACGGCACCGAGCCCCAGTAGCCTTTACCTCTCTTCGCCAATATGACCCTTTCCTAAGGCAATCCCACATCGGAAGAGAGTCATCTTTTCCCTCCGTATATAAGCCCTTGCACTCAAAGGAGGAGGTACCCACTAGGTTTTTGTAAGGGGTAGAAATCGCTACGGATCTCATCCCTCCACTTGAAGGATTCCGGCTGACCTGGCGGCATCGAGCCCCAGTAGCCTTTACCTCTCTTCGCCAATATGACCCTTTCCTAAGGCAATCCCACATCGGAAGAGAGTCATCTTTTCCCTCCGTATATAAGCCCTTGCACTCAAAGGAGGAGGTACCCACTAGGTTTTTGTAAGGGGTAGAAATCGCTACGGATCTCATCCCTCCACTTGAAGGATTCCGGCTGACCTGGCGGCATCGAGCCCCAGTAGCCTTCACCTCTCTTCGCCAATAAGACCATTTCCTAAGGCAATCCCACATCGGAAGAGAGTCGTCTTCCCCCTCGCATATAAGCCCTTGCACTCAAAGGAGGAGGTGCCCACTAGCGACCTGATCAGGTGCCTAGTGGGTACCTCCTCCTTTGAGTGCAAGGGTTTATATGTGAGGGGGGAAGACGACTTTCTTCCGATGTGGGATTGCCTTAGGAAAGGGTCCTATTGGCGAAGAGAGGTAAAGGCTACTGGGGCTCGATGCCGCCAGGTCAGCCGGAATCCTTCAAGTGGAGGGATGAGATCCGTAGCGATTTCTACCAGTTACACAACTCTACTGTCTTTCGGATGGTAAAATTGCTTTTATGTATATTGCCTTTCGGATGTATCGAATCAGAAGAAACATACTGGTGAATACATGAGGCTTTATGTGCTTCATTGTTTCTGTCTATTTGAGACCAAATGCACGAAGATGATGGATTTGTTTAGCTGTATGTGCTTCATTGTTTCTGTTTGTTTAGATGATGGGTTTGAACGTGCCACAAGGTATTTTGGTAATTACTCTACAACGTTTGTGGTAATGTAGGATGTACGACTTATGTGTGGATATGGTTTTACCAAACAATTTGAAATATGTTGCATTTATTTTGTACGAATAAGTTAAGGCAACCAGTAATATGAACGTGTACGGTTTGAACTATGAACCACGATGTCTTAAATTTTTGTAATTTTTTTGTTTAAGGCAACAGTTAATTGGATGACTGTTTTTTCTATGGTATATGTTCGAACATGGACGTTGAGTTCAGGGCGCTATTTGGATGACTTGTGCTTAATTGAACAATATGGTGTAGTTGATTGTAAATTTGTGATTGAGTGAGATTCAATGGTGTTTGTGAACATTTTAAAGAATGGTTTGGCATGTCCATGGTCTTGTCAAGGTTTTTTGGTAAGGATTAATGAGCTATTGGGGAAAATGGATTCACAATTATTTCATCTGTATAGAGTACCGAATGAGGTTGTTGATGCTTTGGCTAATAGGGCTATGAAGGATCAGTTCATTTCATATTTTTCATGTGTTGATTTGTTGTCGAAAATGATAAAGTTGATGCTGTTACAGGACTGAAGAAGGTTGTTAGTTGCTAGAGTAAAAAATGTGCTCATTTTTTATGATAAAGGCTAAGACATATTGACTCTATAGNCTGTTACAGGACTGAAGAAGGTTGTTAGTTGCTAGAGTAAAAAATGTGCTCATTTTTTATGATAAAGGCTAAGACATATTGACTCTATAGGGATTTTGCACATAAATTTTCTTTTAAAGAGAAGTTTTGTTGTTTTGAAGGAGGTTTGTATATAGTTTTTCCCATCCAAAATCAAATCACAAAATATAGAGAAGAGATATAGGAATTTAAGTATCGATTTTTGTAGTGGGGGTGAAAGGTGGTGGACGACAGTGATGGTGGTAGGAGACAATGATGGTTGTGGTGGGTGGCAATGACCGTGGTGGTGATGATGATGATGGTGGTGATGACGGTGGTGGTGGTGGAGGGGGTGGGGGGTGACGGTGGTGGGGGTGGCAGTGGCGGTGGTGATGGGGGTGGGGGGTGGCGACGGAGGTGGTGGCGGTGGCGGCAACTGAGGTGGTGGTGGTGGCGGAGGCGGCAACGGTGGTGGTAGTGGTGGTGGTTGTGGTGGTGACCGTGGTGGTGGCAGTGGTGGTGGTAAAGGCAGTGATGGGGTGGCGGTGGTGGTGGAGGTGGTGGCGGCGGTGGAGGTGGTAGTTGTGGTGGTGGTAGTGGCGGCGGTGGCGGTGGCAGGTGGTAATAGAGGTAGTGGTGGGGTGGTTTCAAATATTTTTTTTTAAAGTATTTATAAGAAATAATTTTTAAAAGTACTTTGAAGGAGGTTTGTACTTTTAAACCCTACTTTTCATATTAAATTTAGGGTGCTAATGTTAGTCGTTAGATTAACTTTAAAGTAAAATTTAAAACGATCTCAACCGCGAATAGTAAAAGTCATTTTGTTTATCTTTTGAGATTTAAACTGTAAGTTACTTTATTATATATATATTATAAAATCGACGGGTAAGCGCATGTATTTGGTGAATACATAAGCATTCTTATATTTTTCACAATATTAAAGTGGTAACCAATAATTCTCAAGCCAAAAAGAAGATATGATTAGATAAGATTTAAGGGTAAAATGGTCAATTAATGTCAAAAGTATAAATCGACACATGGCAACTTAAAGCCAACAAAGCGCTTCACTTGGGCCCTAATCGACCGAGACTGAGTAAAGAACATCAGAGACCGAGAGTATACACCACACGGAAGAACGAACGTGTGCACAGTCTGTTCCGAGTGGTAATTGTCATCGAAGTATGAACCTTGTGCAGTGCGCTGATGTGATAGGTCATAATTACTATGCTATTCATGATGGGTTTGAGCTTAACCACCCCACACAACACATAGCCCTTATTGTACCTGGATACCCCTCAAGGATATTTAGCTGACATTTTGGGGGTCTATTCTTAAATGTTTGACATTAAGCCGCAAACACTTTATTGTAGAACACTCGATGCTTGGAGGGTAAAACTATAAATGCAAGGCCCATCTCGAGAGTTTGACTCTGACTATGTCAGCATTTGACATTAATGAGGCGTGGTGGAGAGACATTTATTACTATGAACGATGGATGTAGGTTGTTAGGCCTAGAATTGACACTCGAGTGCATGCCACGTCAATGTAATCAAAGATACAAATACCTCATTGAAATAGAACTAAAGTATGTATGTTGAAATAGATCTGCACTTTACAATTTTTCCAAACTCAAACACCGACTGACTTAAGCATCAGAAGGCAAGGGCGAAGTCAAAAATTCATAAGAGAGTGGGCACTGCAATTGAAAATTATATCTTTTTTCTAACAGACTAGCATAAAGGATACAAAGTAAATTTTGAAAATCATATTTAATTCCTAAAACTTTGCTAAATCCAAGTGGCCAAAAGTCGATATATGTTGGGTGTAATTAAATATTACAAAAAATTCTAATTATTCCATTTTACAAAAAAAAAAAGAGACTAATTATAGCCCTTCACAATTAATTTCTTTCTAAAAAAGTCATCAGAAAGTCGCAATTGCGAAAGAATCGCACTTACTATCTTGGCATTGCTCTTCAATTTTTCTTCCCATGTTTTCATATTCTGTCTGGAACTCCCATTGATTTGTGTGGTGATTTAAGAGGTATATGTGTATAAGACGAATAAATAAAAAGAGTTTCCATGTATCATAGGCGTGGGCACCACTAAGTATTGTTGGCTTATGGGCTCATGGTTGCGCACTAGTGAGTTAACTCATAAAACATCTATTATACGTGTTGGTAATAAATTTAATTTTTTTTTCAAGATGGGTCAGTGCCACCTCTAACCTATGACTAGCTCCGTCCATGTGGGTGAGGATAAACCAAGTGTATTTCTGGGCAACCCTTTTTGAACATTGTTCCTTGTTTCAAAATTCACGACTGAGTTCACCTTAAGAATAATTATTTCAAATCCTTGTAGGAAATGACCCATGCATGTCATATACACAAATATAAAGATTTTGAGTAATGATTTTGAATAATGTTAGTTAGTGATTGTATCTTTGCATTATGAATAACGGTAATTGGAACAAACAAAATAAAAGGTTAAAGATCCCTAAAGTAAACAAATAAAATGATGGGTCCTGATATTTACATGGTCTTTAAGCTATATCAATTGTCTCAAAACACTGTACAAAATTAAAAATCGAGCATTGCACGTGCAATATTTATATTTTAAAAAATAATTTAATTAAACTAATTTAAAATTAAAATGGACAGAAAGAGAAAATAAGGGAGAGAGGTATGAGAAAGAGCAGAGAGATGCAAATCCTTTTCAAATCACGACTTGAACCCCTTATTGAATGCAGGCATTTAACCAACACATGCTTGAATTACATGAAGCGAAAGAAAAATAAACAAATAAAAAGTAGCCCAATGAACAAGGCTCTCCACAGTTCCAGAAAACGAAAAAAAAAACAAGATTCTCCCACTATGAGGTCCGAGTAGAGATGCAACCTTACCTCTGTATCAAGAGAAATAATTTTTGTGATTTAAACCCATCATGTACAGATTATATTTAAAGTATTTTATCACTGTGTCAAGACCTGTATGAAATGAAAAACTGTGTCATATAATATATGTTAAATTGTCCCATAAACCTTCAAATTTAATTTGACTTCTCCGTTAAAAATGCTCTTAAACATTAAATTGTCTTGAGCCGTCTCTGATGAAACTGTCAACGTCCCATTCCCTCAATCCAACTCTTTGAGGACTCATAAGAATACTAAAAAATTCTTCAGAAATCTCTTTTAACCTCCCATCTACAGGTGGTAGTTCCACTTGAGCCGCTAGCCAGTCCAAGTACTCGAACTGCCATGCATCAAATTTACAAAATCAAGAACTGGCTGTTTAGCTACACTAACATGTATGATCGTGTTATATTCGGGTTGTGTTATATTAGTCGAGTTGACATGTGTGACTTAAGAACCCCAAATCCACATATAGATGCTTAGACATTAAAAATCTAATCGAAATTCATATAATTCTTGATCAAAAGATGTATATATATATAAAAAAAAAAACATATACTTTCTTCATACAGTGTTAGCTTATGTATTTCCATGCATGTCAAGCTTGAAATATTCCTGTTTGATACTAGGGTGACTCGTTATTTATTCGTGTTAGTGGATTGTGTCATTTTAAAATTCGTATAATTATGAGTTCGAGTCATGTTATATACCAAAGAAATGTGGAAATGAAACCTGATCATCAACTGGTAAAATAAGATGAGTATTGTGCTTCGGGGTCTGGCGTTCCTTCATATTCCGGTAGTGTACTTCTACATCAGCCAACATCTCAGATTCCGATGGCAGAACCGCCTTGCCGGATAATAAACGCGCCACCCACTTGGATTGTAATTCCGCCATGGCAAAAAAGAGAATCTTATTGCCAACACAATTTCCAGTGTTAATCAATCATGGAGTTTACTTACGAAAAAAAAAATACAAACCACAAAGTAGGGTGGTAATTGTGTTGTATCGTGTTATTTCAGGCTCGTATTGAACACTAGTCAATCTTAATCCAACTTGTTTAACTAATCGTGTTGAGTCGACTTATTTATTTTCATGTCGTGTTTGTGTTCGTATTCACCCATATAACCCATGAATAAAAAATTTAACCTTTAGATTTTAGTCTAAAATTTAATTGGCACTTATAATCGAAGATATGTTCATAATTTTTCTATAAACTAAAAATTAACTTAATAAATATAATAATAAAAATATCTTTTTTTGAACAATAATTATGTCACTACTTGATAAAATATAATCAAAATTAACATTTTATTCTTATAATACTAATTAAACTTGTTAATTGTGTCAAATTTTATATTGCTCGTATTTGAAACTCATTTATTATTCGTGTTAACGGATTGTGTCATTTACGAGTTCGTGTCGAGAAATAATCAACTTTAACCTATTAATTTCGTATCAATTTTGAATCGTATTTTTGTACCGTATCAAAAATTGTCGCTCTCCTATCATTGCAATTCAGCCTACCCAATCTCTTTCCTCACTCTTAATTACAGTCCTTTTACATACTGGGACAGCATTAAGCCAACTGGGAGGGAGGCGGCGTCGTCTAGCTAAAGATGCTATTGTGTGGGCAAGCACATTTTGATTCCTCCTTATTGCCTGCAAGGTTAATAATTACTTAAACTCCTGACTTAGAGAACCACAGCAAAAATTCAGATCGTTAAGATTTAACGACTTATATTATTACTTAAATTTTAATATTTTAACCACAATAATTCTTTTTATTTACATTTAACTTTTTAGCCACAATAAATATTTTAACGACCCACTTATATTTTAAACAAGATAAACCTTTTAATCACACCAAAAAAAAAGAAGGTGCTTTGCGCAGGTTCCCCTAGTGTGTGTATATATTTCTATATAATAAAGTAGAATAATTTTGTATTCAAGAGACAAAAAGTGGCTCAAATAGTTTCGAGATAAAAAAAAGCATCATTCAACAGCTGACGATATTTCAAACTGTCTCAAGCTATTCACGTCTCAGATTGTTTCGATCCGATGTACCATATTAGCTCTTAAAAACTTTTTGCTACTCAAAACTTTTAGTTTCTAAAACTAACTTCCCTAAATTTAATTTCCCAACCCAATCAAATCTGGCAATTAAACGATCTCTAATTTCTCAACTCTGTCTCTCTCCCTAAAATACAGATTACAATTCTTATCATTATTTTTTTCAGATTTTATTTCCTATGTTAAAGAATCACTTTCTGTATTGAGACATTGACTGTCTCTCACACTCTCATCTTTCATGATTCTCTTTTCAAACTAAGACACATGTCTTCCCAAAATTCTATCCTAATGCAGTTNAAAATAAAAGGTTAAAGATCCCTAAAGTAAACAAATAAAATGATGGGTCCTGATATTTACATGGTCTTTAAGCTATATCAATTGTCTCAAAACACTGTNTGACTGTCTCTCACACTCTCATCTTTCATGATTCTCTTTTCAAACTAAGACACATGTCTTCCCAAAATTCTATCCTAATGCAGCTGTTCTCCATCTTTATTCTTCATATCATAGACACATATTTACTGTACATATATATAGTACGAAGATCGAATACATACTATATCTACATGTTATATCTTATGGAAAGTTTCATTTAAACAGCATGTAGTTGAGTCTAAATTCAATGACAACCCAAATAACAATAACTTTTGTCTATGTCAGTAGATAAAATAATGATTTAACTAATATTTTGTGAAAATACTAAAATTACTCTTTATTATGTAAATAGATTAAAATGTCATCAATTTTTTTTCCCATTATATATGCGTTAGTCAACCAACAAACATAATTTCAATCATTATATTATCTCAATAAATTTTTAAATTTAAAACGTCGTATTAATACTTTGTTATAATATTAGTCATCATATTATCACTCATTTTGTTACATAATCAAGTTTTTATAATTTTTATATTTTTTTATCATAATAATTTTTATAGTTAAAAATAATTTTTCTATAATGAAAATTACAATCGATAGAGTCAATGTCAAAATCTCATTCATTTTTAATTCCTCTGCTATCATATGTCCTCCACAAATGTCGCCCGACCGCTTATCACACATCATACTTCATATATAAAATTCAAAATTATTTAATAAAATTTAATATTAATTGAATAAATTTGATCTTAATTTTGATATATTTAAATATTAATTTATTTTTAATTTGATAAAATTAAATATTATTTTAGTATTAATTTGATTGCATTTAATGTTAATTGAATAAATTTGAATGTTGTTTTAATAAAACTAAATGTTCATTTGGTGTTAAATTAAAGAAATGACATAAATTTGATAAGGTTAAATTTTAAATTAATGAAATTTAATATTCTATTTAATAAATTAAATAGTTTAATTTAATAAAATTGAATTTCAATTTGATGTTGATTTGATAAAAATAAATAATAACTTAATATTAAATTAAAGAAATAATATTAATTTGATGAAATGAAATATTAAATTAATATAACTAATTGCTAATTTGATAAATTAAATATCAATTTTGTGTTAATTTGATGAGATGAAATGTTAATTTACTTCTAATTAAATAAAAAAATTAATTTGATAAAATTGAATATTAAATTGATAAAAATAAAGACTAATATAATAGAACTAAAATGAAGTGTATTGAAATTTCAGAATCAAGAAGGGGTGATGTTAAAGTTAGGTTTTATTTATAAAGGGGTGTGGATAAAATTTACCTTATAAAATATTCGGGGATATTTCTATAAATCAACTATCACTATTAACGGTGTAACCCGACAATCACTAATAGGGAGTAACAGTGAAATTTCAAAATTGGAAGGAGGTGGTGTTGAATTTAGACCTAACTACAGCGGATCTGGATGAAATTTTCCCTTATATCTATACAAATCTATAATAAAACACACAATAAACTGAATTTTATTCCCTATACATTTTCCCTCCTTAAAACTATCGCATCACTCATTTCTATCGTATTCTCAACTATTTAATATTTGATTAATTTGTAATTTAACATAATTTTTATTTCAGATATTATTCATACACGATAGTATAAATCTGTTAAAAAAATTTATCGGATTACATATTGTGAAAAAATTTTGTCAATATCTTTAAGAAAATAATGGGTAAAAATTTTTTTGAATGATTTAATCAAACAAATGAAAGAAAGAAAAATTATTATTTAATATTAGGACTTGAATTTTTTGTTATTTCGTGCCTTCAGGCACAGGTTATGACTAGTATATCTATATAATAAATCAGTTAGCGAGTTGAATCTTTATCCCCTATATATTTTCTCTCCAAAAAAATTACATCACTAAATTCTGTCACATGTTCAATCATTTAATATTTAGTTAATTTTTAGTTTAACACAATTGTTATTTTATACATTATTCATAGACTATATTGTACACATGTTTATAAAAAATTATCGAGTTATTTATTCTGAGAAAATGTTGACACTATTAATTTTAAATGATGTAAATAAAGAAATTAATTTTAAATTTAATACATTGAGATCAATTTTTTAAACGTTAAAATCTTATGTTCCATGATGCCTTATATATATCTTTGCCAAGAAAGATTGAATGCAAACAATACTTGTAGGAGTAACAATGACTGACCCTGGAAGGAAGTCCCACGAAGCAGAGTCTAGGAGCAAGCTGTGGGGGGAAGACATGCTTGTACAACGGCCCGACCCGATTGTCCTCCACGGTTACAATTCCATTCGTTTGGAGAAATGGAAAATCGTAGTTGTACCTGTGAAATCTTGTTAGAACTCGTGTTCTGGCTCGAGTTCGATGGGAAAAAAGGACATGAAAATGAAAATTGGTACGAGAATTATACCCAGTACAATGCATAATGATATCTGCACAAATGGCTGCTCCGTCTTGAAAACATACTGTACCATTTTCATAGATGTTGTTAATCTGAAAAAAAAAAAAAAAAAAAACTATTATTAATAGGTCACAATACACTTTCACCCGACTACAAATCCTATATTGTCTCGTAACTATTGTGTTTCTCACACTATCTCATCAATTACTTGAATTAGTTTTACACTGTCCAAACTTCAACAGTGGTTGTGTTTTGAACGGACAATGTCCACATAGTTTATATATAAAAGTAAACCACTTTTTTGCCTAACTCGTTGCGAGAAACTTGAAAATTGAGATAGAAAATGTGAGATATGAGTCATACGATTATCAGAAAATAAAAGAAAAGAAAAACCTCGGAATGCTGCCACATATTTTCGTGGTTGTCCAGCTTTGAACATTTAACATTCGGGGATCTTGACGAAATATGAACTTCTTTGGCCACTGTCGCAATTTCTAAGGAAATCTCATAACCACTTGGTCCATTTCCGATCACTACCACAATCTGTCAGGTGGATTACTTGATCATTCATCGTTGGTATGTTTTTATAGTAGCACGGATAAATATATGTCTTACTGTACATATTATTTATATTAGAAGGAAAAAAGAGTACTTTAAAAAGTGTTGGAAACAAAACAGAAAGTTGGCAGCAGGAAAGTATGGGAGCTGCGAGTGCATACCTGATCTTGAAATGGTTCAGGAACACGATAATTGTGGCTATGAACTTGCTTTCCAGGCCATTTCTCAATGCCTGCTTAGAAATTAAACAAAAAAGAGAAAAGGATATCCAATGCTTAACTATATAAGAGTTTCTCTTATGCGGTGTTTAATAAAACTGAAAATTGAATATTGAATTTTTTAATTCGTAAATTGCTTGATATCCACTGAAATTTAAATATTTAATTAAATTAAACTGTTTGAGAAATATAAAGAACTAAAGTATAAAAATTATTATTTTTTTAATTTTGTTCATCTTTTTAACCATCTCACCGCAGCTATCGTATTCCTACCATAATTGTGATGGTGGTAGTGGTGGCAACGACAAAATGGTGGTGACACAATTCAAATCCATGATAGCGTTCAAAATTCAAATCCATGATATTGTTCAAAATTCAAAAGCAGAATAATAGATATGGGTTTAGGCATTAAGGGAGCTGATTTTCGGGTATTTCTTGGAGATATTTCAGTCAGTCTTTACCAGTTAGTTTAAAGGAGGATTTTAAAGCAGAATAGGAGCTGCATGGTGATCTGCTGCCCACCAAATCTGCCCTTTTTCAGAAATTTAAAGAGTGATCACATGCATGTGTTTTGCTAAAATCCAAATCTTGCCACTTTTTTTTTTTTGAAAGTTAAAATGGGGAAGAGGGGCGATTAGCAGGTAGTGACCCCTGGGCGTGACTATGAGAGTTTTCTCTGATATGGAATGTTCAATTAGTCATAACTATTGACCCCCTAAAGCAGTCCGTCACCACACTACCACCGAAACACTACTGAGGAAATCATGAGAATCTTGTGGATCAATCCTTGATTGCTAACCTCGTGGGAGTCAAAAAAACAACTCTAAACGAGTGCGCCTTATCGTTAGAATACCAGCTCCGGTGGTCAAATCTTGCCACTTGGATATAGATTCCAAGATTAGGATGGTAAGTGGTGGGCCAGTCAATTAGACTTTTTCAAGTGGAGGCAGCTTGAATTTAAAATGGAGTGTGTCAAGGAAGTAATACCGAAGGTTAGGGAAGCTACGAGGAAACAAAACAGAAATCAATTATTTTTGTATTTAGATTAGTAGATTATTAGTCCAACGAGCAGTCAATTATTGTAGTTCTTAATAATACATTTATAATAAATGAGAAAGCAGGTATAGAGGGTTGATAAGCCCAAACGAGAGCATAATAAAAAAGATGACATAAGAAATTAATTCTTATATCTACAACAACCCTCAATCATGTAATGTCTTTCTTTGACTGCAACTAACANAGTCCGTCACCACACTACCACCGAAACACTACTGAGTAAATCATGAGAATCTTGTGGATCAATCCTTGATTGCTAACCTCGTGGGAGTCAAAAAACATCCCTAAACGAGTACGCCTTATTGTTAGAGTACCAGCTCCGGTGGTCAAATCTTGCCACTTGGATATAGATTCCAAGATTAGGATGGTAAGTGGTGGGCCAGTCAATTAGACTTTTTCAAGTGGAGGCAGCTTGAATTTAAAATGGAGTGTGTCAAGGAAGTAATACCGAAGGTTAGGGAAGCTACGAGGAAACAAAACAGAAATCAATTATTTTTGTATTTAGATTAGTAGATTATTAGTCCAACGAGCAGTCAATTATTGTAGTTCTTAATAATACATTTATAATAAATGAGAAAGCAGGTATAGAGGGTTGATAAGCCCAAACGAGAGCATAATAAAAAAGATGACATAAGAAATTAATTCTTATATCTACAACAACCCTCAATCATGTAATGTCTTTCTTTGACTGCAACTAACATTGTCAAATGATTATTTTGAACTCAACTCAAGTTGGACTCAGTTCCAACTCGTTGAAGTTTGATTAAATTATATAATGAATAAGATTGTGATTCCTAATTAACTTTTGTTAATGAGTCGAATCAAAAAAATGAGTGACTCCGAATAATATGTGTATAAATAATTTTAATTTTACTATCAAGCACCTCCTATCCTTAAACTATCCACAAATAGCTCCAAACTCTGTAGTAAAGCTTAGCTCAAGCTCGAGTTCAAGTTCGGTCGATCACAATTGAGCCGATCAATTTCAACGACCTTAACTCGATTGAAATCCTAAATCATATACAAACACACACAAATATTGTTGGATTTTATGGAAAAGTCAATTTATTTGGGGCCTGCCTATCTTTGTTTTGTAAGAATTATCGGTGAACGTACGAACCTGAAAGATTTGCCAATCGAGGTACAGTATAATGACCACTGCAAACCATCACTGCCTCAAATATGTCCTCCGTACTCAGTCCACTCGTTCTTGACTCAACAACCCACTCGTCGTTCCTCGAGTCGACCCGCTCAACTCGGACCACTTCAGTATTGAACCGTATCAACTCAACGAGTCCAAAGTCTTTAGCAAAGTCATCCAAAAACTTTAGCACTTCTTCATGTCCAGGAAAATTCCTAGAATCCCCATATTGCTTAGAGGTAAATAGGTAGTCTGAGAAGCCCGTAAGGTGTCTGGGTGTGTTGGTGCGAAGTGAGAAATAGATGCTACTATGAACAATCTCTCTATTAGGATCGAGTCCGAGTGGATCGGTCTCGACTCGGGGGTCATACATCCATGTTCCACCGAGTCGATTTTGTGTTTCATACACTACGACTCGGTGGCCTTCTCTTTGAAGTTCACGAGCAACAGCAAGCCCAGAAACCCCGGCTCCGATCACCGCCACCTTCAACGACTGTGCCATAGTATGTATATATGTATTTAGCTATATAAGGCTAGATGGGTGATGATCACAGTACATTTCAGAATATATAATTTGTGTTTAGCATTACTCTATTTATTGCCGCGNAGTATGTATATATGTATTTAGCTATATAAGGCTAGATGGGTGATGATCACAGTACAATTCAGAATATATAATTTGTGTTTAGCATTACTCTATTTATTGCCGCGCAGAGATGATAGTTTCCTGGAGCTAAAAAAATATTAGCTTCATTTATTAACTTGATTAATTATTATCATTGATTTAATTATAAATTTTAATATTTATTAAAATTTATTATTTATTCTATTATTTGTGATCGATCAAATCAATAAATTAAAAATTAATATTTTAAATTCAAATAATATTTTATGCGCCACAAAATAAGGGAAGTCATAAACTATACATTGTTTTGGATTATATTTGTTTGGAGTTTTCATTTGGATTGCTTTAACCAATTATCCAAAACTATATTTGTGGACTGACAGGACGTAGTTAATCATAAATCGACACATGGCTATTTAAAGCCAGCAAAGTGCGTCACTTGGTCCCCCATTGACCGAGACTAGCTAAAGAACATTAAAGACCGAGAGTATAATGAACATGTGCACAGTCTGTGCCGAGCGGTATTTGTCATCGAAGTATGAATTTTGTGCAGTGTGCTGATGTCATAGTTTTTAAATTTGATCCGGACATTAACTCGACGAAGGAATCGGGTCAATAAATTATTAGTTCAATCATTGATCAATCGATTGAATCGATTATATAATTAATAATAATAATAAATATGTTAAAAAATTATTATAATTACAAAAATAACATTTTTTAGTAAATAAAATAAATAGACAAAAAAATAATTCACTAAAAATATCCTCAAATCATTAATTTGCTTACATAATTGATATAATTTGACAGAGCATAAAATAATTTACTAAAAAATATTAAATATTTATTATAAATAAAAATAATATGATGTCTAAAAAATCAAAAAAAAAATTGATAGAAAAAATAATGATAATTTAAGTACACTACCTATCCCACGTCGAAAACTCACATGGAGTTATGAGGACTATTCGCCTATAAAGGTGCTGCACTTCTTTACTTCTTATTGTTAGTGGTCAAAACTTGCTGGCTGAATGTCAGTTCCTCTCGAAGTTTGGTTTGAATATTTTATGTTTGAGCCTTGAAGTTAAGTTTTAATATTTTATGTTTGAGTTTTAATATAAAAATGGATTTGTAAAAATCGGATCGATTTATACGGGTTCATGAAAAATGACCGATTTAAGCCGGTTTGAACGATTTTTTAGAAGGCTATTTGTTGGATCGATCCAATTAAAGAACAGGACCGGCTTAGGCATCGATTGACCGATTTTTCGGATTGATCTGCCTGGTCGGGCTGAGTTTTAATTACTGTCTTGTCCATGAGGAGTTCGAGCTTAACCGCCAAAACACAACACATAGTCCTTACCGTACCTACATACCCCTCAAGGATATTCAGCTGATATTTCGGGGTTTATTCTTAAATATTTGGCATTAGGTCGCAAACATTCTATTGTTGAACACTCGATGTTTCGAGGGTAAAATTATAAAGGTGTGTTTGTTTTGAAGGATAAAGACGGATAACACATATTGGATTGGATAAAATTAGCTGGGGGCCCACAAAACCCAGCTTTGGGTACTCTACATGGGATAGAATAATTGTTGGGCTGAAATAATCAAGCCGTAACTTTATTGGGCGGTTATCCCATTTGATCCAGATCCACAAATCTTACTTGGACTTTGGAATTTCTAAGCCCACCGAGTGGATTAGCTAGGAAATTACCTAATTGCCCAAGTACAGTAATTACGCTAGGGTTTTTACCCCTTTGTCTTCGTTTCACCTACCAATTGGTCCCGCCACATTTGTAAGCGATGCCCATTGGTCTCCCTTTAGCTGAGGTATTCCTCTCTCCTCTCTCCCTCCTCTCTTTATCTCAGTTCCCGTTTGTATTTTACCCATTATTTACAAATTTTAGGCATTATTTTGGTGTGAAGCAAGCGCTGCTTCCTACAAATCCTGAAGCAGGGGATTTTTTATTTTTATTTTTCGTTTCAACTGGGTAGAAGGGCAATTGCTGACGACGTAGAACAATAGTGTCATGCATCATTGTTGTTCGATTTTTGTCCATTTTTTTGGGGGTCCAGTTCTTCATTGCTTAATTGAACAATATGATTTAGTTGATTGTAAATTTGTGATTGAGTCGGATTCAATGGTGTTTGTGAACATTGTAAAGAATGGTTTGACATGTCCATGGTCTTGTCAAGGTTTTCTGGTAAGGATGAATGAGCAATTGGGAAAAATGGATTCACAATTATTTCATGTGTATAGAATACCGAATGGGGTTGCTGATGCTTTGACTAACATGGTTGTGAAGGATCAGTTCATTTCGAATTTTTCATGTGTTGATTTGTTGTCGAAAATGGTAAAGTTGATGTTGCTACAGGACCGAAGAAGGTTGCCAGTTGTTAGAGGAAAAAATGTACTCATTTTTTATGATAATGGCTAAGACAGATTGACTCTATAGGGATTTTGTATAGAATTTTTCTTTTTAAGAGAAGTTTTGTTGTTTTTACATATTTTGAAGGGGGTTTGTATATGGTTTTCCCCTTTGCTTCTTGTAATTTTTTTGGTGATTGGAAATAAAATTTTCTTCTTATTTTTTTTAAAAAAGGTTAAATTAATGTTATGGTTCATGTGAATTTGGGTTGTGAAGTATTTTCTCGTATATTCAGACATTTTTTTCCTAATTTTTTTAATATCTTTGGTGGATGAAATAAATTTGTGAGCGACTTATAAACTTGTAATATAAAATCAACGTGTAAGCGCATGTATTTGGTGAATATATAGCCATTCTTATATTTTTCAGAATATTAAAGTGGTAACCAACAATTCTCAAGCCAAAAAGGAGATAGAATTGATTAGGATTTAATGGTAAAATGATCAATTAATGTCAAAGGTATAAATCGACACATGGCAACTTAAAGCCAACAAAGCGCTTCGCTTGGGCTCCAATCGACCGAGACTAAGTAAAGAACATCAGAGACCGAGAGTATACAACACACGGAAGAACGGACATGTGCATAGTCTATGCCGAGTGGTAATTGTCATCAGAGTATGAACTTTGTGCAGTGCGCTGATGCTACATATCATAATTATTGTCCTGTCAATGACGAGTTCGAGCTTAACCGCCAAAACACAACACATAGCTCTTACAGTACCTGGCTCAAGGATATTTACCTGACATTTTGGGGTCTATTCTTAAATGTTTGGCATTAGGCCGCAAACACTTTATTGTAGAACACTCAATGCTTGGAGGGTAAAACAATAAATGCACGGCCCATCCCGAAAGTTTGACTCTGACTATCTCATCATCTGGCATTAATGAGGCGTGGCAGAGAGACATTTATTACCATGAACGATGGATGTAGGCTGTTAGGCCTAGGATTGGCAGTCGAGTCCGTGCCACGTTGATGTAATCAAAGGTATAAATACCTCATTGAAATAGAACTAAAGTATGTATGTTGAAATAGATATGCACTGTACACTTCTCCCAAACTGAAACACCGACTGACTTAAGCATCAGAAGGCAAGGGCGAAGTCAAAAATTCATATGAGTGGGTACTGAAATTGAAAATTATATCTTTTTTCCTTCCTACAGACTAGCATAAAGGATACAAAGTAAAATTTGAAAATCATATTTAATTCCTAAAACTTTGCTAAATCCAAGTGGCCAAAAGCTGATATATGTTGGGTGTAATTAAAAATAACAAAAAATTCTAATTAATCCATTTAAAAAAAAAAGGAGACTAATTAAAGCCCTTCACAATTAATCTTTTTCTAAAAAAGTCACCAGAGGGTCGCCATTGTGAAAGAGTCGCACTTACCATCTTAGCATTGCTCTTCAATTGTTCTTCCCCTGTTTTCATATTCTGTCTCAAACTGCCATTGATTTGTGCGNCTTACTATCTTGGCATTGCTCTTCAATTGTTCTTCCCATGTTTTCATATTCTGTCTGGAACTCCCATTGATTTGTGTGGTGATTTAAGAGGTATATGTGAATAAGATGAATAAATAAAAAGAGTTTTCATGTATCATAGGTGTGGGCACCACTAAGTATTGTTGGCTTATGGACTCTGGGTGGGCACCAGTGAGTTAACTCATAAAACATTTATCATACATATAGGTAGTAAATATATATATTTTTTTCAGGGTGGGCCAGTGCCACCTCTAACCTATGACTTGCTCCGTCCATGTGGGAGAGGATAAACCAAGTGTATTTCTGGACAACCCTTTTTGAACATTGTTCCTTGTTTCAAAACTCACGACTGAGTTCACCTTAAGAATAATTATTTCAAATCCTTGTAGGAAATCACCCCATGCATGTTATATACACAAATACAAAGATTTTGAGTAATGATTTTGAATAATGTTAGTTAGTGATTGTATCTTTGCATTATGAAGAACTGTAATTGGAACAAACAAAATAAAAGGTTAAAGATCCCTAAAGTAAACAAATAAAATGATGGAAAACCTGGGATCCTGATATCTACATGGTCTTTAAGCTATATCAACTGTCTCAAAACACTCTACAAAATCAAAAATCGAGCATTGCACGTGCAATATTTATATTTTAAAAAATAATTTATTAAAATAATTTAATTAAACAATTTAAAATTAAAATAAACAGAAAGAGAAAATAAGAGTGAGAGGTATGAGAAAGAGCAGAGAGATACAAATCATTTTCAAATCACAACTTGAACACCTTATTGAATGCTGGCATTTAACCAACACATGCTTGAATTACATGAAGCGAAAGAAAAATAAAAAGATAAAAAGTAGCCCAATGAACAAGGCTTTCCACAGTTCCAAAAAACAAGAGAAAAAAAAAAAACAAGGTCATGTTTGGTTTGCTTCTTGAAAACTATTTTTTGTTCTCAAATCT